GTACGTTTGGGGCAGTTCTTATATCTTCTGATTGATTTTTTCAGCAGCGTCCAAGATTGGTACAGATATTTATTCCACAATAAACAGACTAACGTTTCGGCAAACTCGCCTTCTTCAGAGTCTGAAAAGTCAAAAGCATGTAAGTGAACTATCCGATCAAATGCCTTGTCGACTACAGAAAAGACCCAACCCTTTAGACAAGCAACAGACCATCAACCAAAACGCAAGATCAAGCCAGTGCTCACTTTAAGAGATAATAGATTAGGTGGGTGCAGACCACTTATGTCAAAAACTGTACTGCATTACTTTTATACTAATCTAGTGACCCGGTCCTGACCTCATTATTCAAAAGCCACAAAGGCTCTGATATGGTGACAGCTCGTTAGTAATGGCTAGGCACTCATCCTTCCGGTTGATTTTTTGATTTTGGGCGGCTATCCAAAACGCTTCGAGTGTCTTGCGCGCTAAGATCTCCGGTTCACGCCCAGGATTCGAACCTGCACTCCCACCTCCGCGTCGTCATGGCTGAGCCTGCGATGCATGCCTAACGGAGTAGCTACATTGCCCTTGCTGAGACCATCTAAGTGTTCTTTGTGTTTTCGACTTTCCAGACTCTGAAGAAGGTGAGTTTGCCGAAACGTTAGTCTGTTTATTGTGGAATAAATATCTGTACCAATCTTGGACGCTGTTGAAGAAATCAATCAGAAGATTCAAACCATGCCAAGATTTATGGATAGTCGAACATGGATTCTGATGAACGACGTACCAGCGGTTCTTATAATTTTTAAACGGTCTTCAAGCGGCACGTAGGGCAACTTGATCGGGCAGGGGAACAGGTTTTTTTACGTTTGGGACAGTTCTTATAATTTTTTAACGGTCTTCAAGCGGCACGTAGGGCAACTTGCTCGGGCAGGGGAACAGATTTTTGTACGTTTGGGACAGTTCTCATAATTTTTGAACGGTCTTCAAGCGGAACGTTGGGCAATTTAATTGGACAGGAAAACAAATTTTTTGTACGTTTATGCAGTTCTTATGATTGACGGTCTTTAGGTGGCTCAGTAATGTGCTTTTCGGGGAGGGATCTACTTATGTAGTAAAGCTTCATATTCCTTTGGCGAAAATACTGAAAAATTTTCTGACAAAGTTCTTAGACGATTGATTTCGTTGCTGTCGGAGTGGATCCTGAGAGAAAAGTGTTTTTTGTAGTACACAGTTGTTTTGGGTGTATTTCTACTTCCAAAACGATAGGTGTTCTTCTAGTTCCTTGACCATCTTCTATGGAAGTTGTTGAGAAAAACTGGAAGAGCAAATTTTTTTTGATTTGGTAGAAAAGATAGGGGGGGGGGGGTTATCTGAATGTCTCTTTGAGGAGGGGAAATTTGCAGAAAGAGCGTGGTAAACGAGAGAAAATAATACCCCATGCATGGTTGCAGCAGGAATTTTGAGAAATGCTGAATGATTGGTAATTATTGCTTCTTCGAACAGTTCTCCTTTTGTAGAATGCTTCGCAAAGATGTTTCCAGCAAAGGCATAGGAAACTTATTTAGCAATATTTATAATCACAACTAAGCCCTTATATTGTATCTGCCCCTACCCACTTGCTGGCGACCCGTAGGGTCGCTTGTATATATATATATATATACTAGCTGGCTTACCCGGCTCAGCCGTATGTTTCGAGCCTACGACATCCGCCGGGGCCCGAAATGTGCGTGTGCCAAGTTTGGTCCGGATCGGTTCAGAAATAAAAATTTCTATTCGCAACATACGTACATACATACATACAGACATACAGACATACATACAGACAGACATTCAGCTATATATATAAGATTAGGTCGTTCCGAAAGTAATGTCGCTTTTTTCAAACGTACGTCACATCTCTTGGGACCAAGATATGCAAGAGATTCTGGCAGCGTTTGATGCAGCGTTTCATTCTCTTTCTAAAAGTTATATAACCACTGCACAAAATTCAATAATCTCTCGGAAAATTGTAAAAATCTGCGACCCATGCTTTTTGAGAAGGCTAAGTTTCACAATTTTTTTAAATTTTTATAACAACCCTCGGAAGGAGCCCAAGTAATGGGCGGATAGACCAAACCCTACAAAAAATAGCACAACTTTTTTCTGCCTTCCAGAGCTCATCATAATTATTGTATAGATTTTTTGATGGAACCACCATCTAATTTTAGAAAGCTCGTCATAGAAACAAATGCATCAAACACCAATATATCTTCGGATTTTGAATCTTGCAAAGGTGGATTATGGTTTGACACTAATTTTGCAAACTAACTGAGTTTCCACCGCGTCAGATCAACTTTTGATTCCGGGCACGCCTGGGAGCGCCCTGGAAAACCTGAATTATGATGATTTTATCCTGGATAACTTGATGAATCGGAAACAAAAAACAATTAGTAAAAAGGGGAGGAAAAGCTGCGTCGAATGACACCCGAGTTGCTTGCCGGTTGTTGTTGTGTGAGTTTTGAGTTGACCAAATATGGAATTTGATGGCATTAAAAAATTGATTCCAGAAACTCTAAGAAGCAAACTAAGGAAAAGAAAAAATTATTCTGTGTCTTATAAGGTTTGCTCTATCTAACTGTCACTTGTATTTCCACGGAGAATAAGTACAAAAATTTAGAAAAGTAGCCGAACTTGATCATGTCAAAAAGCATGAGTCGCGGATTTAGGTAATTTTTCGAGAGCTTATTGAATATAGCTTGCTTACCCGGCTCCGCTCGGGCCTGTCAAAACACTGTAATAAAGGTCCCATCCCTATCCCTGCACAGCCTTTCCCTGTGCCCACTTCTACACTTCATTTCCCGTTCCCTGTGTTGTTTTCGAAGTCAGCATGCCCACTTACCCCCCCCCCCTGTGCCAACTCCCAGCCCTGTAGCTCAAACTTTGCAAAAAATCGATAAAATCGATAAAAAAGTAATGGACGATTTTGAAAACTAATATTGTATTCGTAGTCAGCATGCTCGATTACCCCCCTGTGACAACTCCGAGCCCCGTAGCTCAAGCTTTGCAAAAAATCGATAAAATCGATAAAAGTGGACGATTTTGAAAACTAATATTGTATTCGTAATCAGCATGCTCGATTACCCCCCTGTGCAAACTCCCAGCCCCGTAGCTCAAACTTTACAAAAAACCGATAAAATCGATAATAGTAATCGATAATCCTGAAAACTAATATTGTATTCGGAATCCCCATGCTCACTTCCCCCCTGTGCCAACTCCTAGCCCTGTAGGTGAACTCTGCAAAAAAATCGATAAAAATCGGTAAAATCGACATCGATCGATAACGAAAAGTGGATTGTGACACCCGTCGGGGCCCCGAGGTGTATGTGCCAAGTTTGGTCCAAATCGGTTCAGAAATAAAAATTTCTATTCCGCACATACGTACAGACATACAGACAGACATACAACATTCAGCTTTATATATAAGATTATGCAATGAAATTAGAACCCTCAAAAAGACGATAAAATGCTGCATCGAATGCTCTTAAGATCTCTTGAAAATCTTGATTCCATGAAATGTGGCGTCCATTTGAAAAAAGCGACATTACTTTCGGAACGACCTAATATATATATATATATATATATATATATATATATATATATATATATATATATATATATATATTAGTGGCGTACAGAGGGGGGTGCATGCCCCCCCCCCGAAAATGGGTCGCGAAATTTTTGAAAGTTACTTGAATGTGTTATAAAAATGTGCAGAGGACTTGTTTTTACTTGTAAATAATTGAAATAATTTTTAAAAATTTTTAAAAATCTAAATTAGCTTTGTAAAAAAATTTTTTGGGAGCATGGCTGCTGCCACGCCCCCTTTTTCTGAAATTTTGGGGTCAGGGGCCCGGAATAATTTTGGGAAACATCGTAAAAAATTCGGAGTGCGTGGCTGACGTTACGCACCGATAGCTTTCCGAAACGTAAACGTTGTCAGCATAGTAGCAACTCCCCGATAAATGTTATCCCATGAATTTCAAAATACAGCAAATCAGTAGTCCAGAAGTTCAAGAAATGTTAATACGTAAAATAGCATTCATTGGGGCAATACTCGACTTTAGGAATAGGGGAGTACCCGATTTTACGTGTAACAACTAACAGCAGTCAACCAATAACTGTAGTTCCATTAGAATTACAAAAACGCAAACACCCTGTAATTGCAGCTTCTCCAGAAAAACTTGTGGACATTCAGTTTATACTTTTTTAGTTCGTATCCAAAAGGAATGCGACACATAAATTCCGCCTTAGAGCAAATGGGCATCTAAACTCACTCACGTTTTGCTTCTTCGCCATGCAAGTTAAAAAGAACAGGATAGTAGAAAGAAAAGGTTACAAACATCATGGAGTCCCTTTAAATCTGGAAAAGAGAGCGTAATCATAGTGAAGATGGTCTACATCAACTTACAAACTCGGATCCCAAACTTTTAGTGACCCAAAATCATCGTTATCTAATACATAAAGAATCGTAAGCACAATTCAAAATTGTGCAGATAGCGGGAAACCGCGTGGCGGTCCCGAAGCGAACGCTCTTCCAAAAAGCACTTTTAAATTACTGGTTCACTAGTTATCCTTTCAGAGTTACGTAAACATACGCAACCGCAACGAAAAATCACAACAATAATAAAGTAACGGCAGTAAAAGCAAAGGAGATAAGTAAAGGAGGAGCATGCTACATCAGGCTCATTCACGCGATGTTTAAAATCAATCTCCTATTGTATGCGCAGTCCCGTGTGCTTGTCATGTTCTTGCACACTGGAACGGTCGCCGGCCGGCATGATTTACTCGCACGGTCGCCAACCGGCATTTGGCTTCGCCCAAAATGATGGAACGGCCGCTGGCCGGAAGACCGTCGTCGGCCGGTCGCCGGTCGGTGCGAGTGTCTGACAATGAGTAGACGGATGACGTCCACTATATGTTTTCGGCCTTAGGGCGTGTAACTCTGCAGTGAGCTATTTACATGAATGGCTGCACTTTAGATGCTCATTTCCCTCGGGCAAAAAGTCCTGCTTCCGACATGGCTTGAAGAGTGCTGGAGTTGTCGTGATGATCTGGGCTTTGACCCCACAGAAAATGCTTTGGTATCAAATATGCGCTGATTTTCCCCCTTGCTCAAAGTAACTTTTGGTACTGCTTTAGCTCCGCAGGCATCGCATTGGCGTATTTGAATCGCTCAAAATATGTGTTGTTGGGTTTGAAGACGACTACGCTTCGGATATAAGGGATAATATATCAAGCTTCGGTAAGTCTTATTTCACTCAAGTATATCAAATATTCTAAGTACACCATTGTTGTTTCTTGAGGAGCCACGGTTGTGGATGATGCAATGTACGCCACACATGTCGTTGTTAGCGGTGCACATGTTCTCAGCAGGCTTCCTGCCGCTAATCAACGCATCGTTACGGCAGAGGTAAAGTTTGAATGTCTTTTTCACTCAATAAAGTTTATATTTAGTGGGTTTGGACTAGCATCAGCATACAGTACTGCGCCAATGAAGATGCATACATGCCTGCAACGTTGACATCTCTCCTTCCTGCAAGTGGCGAAGAAGCGAGCGAATTTTTCGGCGTCTCAGCACCCGGCCGTTCCTGTAATTTGAAAGGTGTTTATTCTTACATTTCGAGGTTTTCGGATTTTTCATTTGAAGCGACTGGCATTTCTCCAGTTTCTGTCTGGGGCAGAAAAGCACGTTGATCCCGCGCTTATCGTCAAACATTGGATTTGTCGGTTTTTCCTTGTGTATTCCTAATTAGGATGTGGTGCAAAGCTGTCACGAAAGCTTTCGAGTGTTGTAGATTCAAGGCCGCATTCGTTCCCGACGGGAGGGGATCGAAGCTCGAAAGAAAGCTCCATGTCCTGAAGTTCCACATGTCTGGATTTCACGTTACTAGCCATCCATAAGTAATCCTTATACCCTTCACTTTGAACACATCGACAAGAAGACAGGATTATAGAAGTCAAAAAGCAAAGGGCTACCGATCGAAGTCGATGTCCGTAGATGCACCAATATTCATTTGACTTCATTCGACGCCTGTTTGGAGCGCTGTTGTCGCTGCATAAGGCCTAATTCATACCTCACGCGATTCGGTCGAATCGCCACTTTCACGCGACTTGGCAATTTGCCAGATTTTTACGAATTTATCATGCGCACTTCTCGGACGCATATTTGGGTAGCTTGTGTAAGTTGTTGCAAATAGAACAAGTTCTGACCAAAGGCAGCGCATTAACAACGAATTATGAAGAGTCGCTGTTGTGCCAAATCTCGCAGCGACCGGAATCGCACGAGGTATGCCTTAGGCATGAGGGGACTGCCTTCGTGGGTTGCACGCAGAGGTGCGATAGGGGGAGCCAAGTCTCCCCCTACCTTCACTTTTGAGCTGGTACGGGGTGACCACCTTCACTTTTGGAATAAAAAATTTTTCGCTGGACGACAAAGAAGGAAAATAAGCAAAACAAACGCAAAAAAGATTATTGAAAGCATATATTTATGTATACGGCGGCATATATATTTAAAATAAAGGTTTTTAGTAAATGGTGTATTTGGAAGTAAAGCTTAGCAAAACTGTACGGATTTTATCAAGCAAATTATGTTATAACGTATAGCGAAGGAAGTAGGTCGATCCAGGCAGTAACGGCGGAGAACCAGAATTTTGAATATTTAAATAGTGAAAAATCATGCGAAATTTCCACTGTTATAAATCTGTTGTTTGAAGATGTCAGCAGTTGCGACTTCATAGGTTTTGAAGAGTAGATGTTGCTCTATCAGCTAGTGAAGGAATCGGGTCGATTTAAGAGATAGTCGTTGAAAACCAGAGTTCTAAAACTTTACGCCATTTTTGCGTATTTTTTGACTGTTGAGAGTTAAACTCTTGTAAATCTTGAATGTGGAAGTGTATGATGTTGCGACTTCATAGGTTTTATAGAGTACTAGCTGGCTTACCCGGCTCCGCCGTATCCGGACCAAACTTGGCACACATACACTTCGGGCCCCGGCGCGTGTCACAGTCCACTTTTCGTTATCGATCGATGTCGATTTTACCGATTTTTATCGATTTTTTCGCAGAGTTCACCTACAGGGCTAGGAGTTGGCACAGGGGGGAAGTGAGCATGGGGATTCCGAAAACAATATTAGTTTTCAGAATTATCGGTTACTTTTATTGATTTTATCGATTTTTTGTAAATTTTGACATGCGATGCTGGGATTTTGCACAGGGGGGTAATCGAGCATGCCGATTACGAACACAATATTAGTTTTCAGGATCGTCCATTACTTTTATCGATTTTATCGATTTTTTCGTAAAGTTTGACCTGCGGGGCTGGGAGTTTGCACAGGGGGGTAATCGAGCATGCAGATTACGAATACAATATTAGTTTTTGGAATTATCCATTACTTCTATCGATTTTGTCGATTTTGCAAAATTTGAGCTAGGGGGCTGGAATTTGGCACAGGGGCGTAATCGAGCATGCTGATCACCCCCCTGGGGATGATCAGCATGCTCGATTACCCCCCTGTGCCAACTCCCAGCCCCCTAGCTCAAACTTTGCAAAAAATCGATAAAATCGATAAAAGTAATCGATAATCCCGAAAACCAATATTGTATTCGGAATCCCCATGCTCGATTACCCCCCTGCGCGAACTCCCACCCCCGTAGCTCAAACTTTGCAAAAAAATCGATAAAATCGATAAAAGTAATCGATAATCCTGAAAACCAATATCGTATTCGGAATCCCCATGCTCGATTACCCCCCTGTGCCAACTCCCAGCCCCGTAGGTGCATTCAGCAAAAAAATCGATAAAAATCGATAAAATCGATATCGATCGATGACGAAAAGTAGCCTATGACACCCGCCGGGGCCCGTAGTGTATGTGTGCCAAGTTTGGTCCGGATCGGTTCAGAAATGGAATTTTCTATTCGGAACATACGTACACACATACAGACAGACAGACATACAGACAGACATACAAACAGACATTCAGCTTTATATATAAGAAGGTTTGCCTTATCAGAATATGTCTTGTCCGTTCCGATCCATTGAAACACCTCCGAGATCCAGAGTCACGAAAAAGCAGGTAAAAAAGAGCTTTTTGAACTTCAACAGCTCATAACTTCTTCAGAACTGCATGAATCATGTTGCGACTTCATAGGTTAGATTCCTCTCATCAAGGGCTTTCAGATGATATATAATATGTGGGGGTTTAGAGCCTCCTGCGAATTATGACCGGGGGGGGAGACTTTTTAGGCCAAAGTCTCCCCCTCGCCCATTTTAATGTATTGGCTGGAGGCTGCCGGGGGAGACTTTGGCCTAAAAAGTCTCCCCCCCCCGGGCATATGCCGTAAGAGGCGCGAAACCCCCACATATTATATATCATCTGAAAGCTCTTGACGAGAAGAATCTAATCTATGAAGTCGCAACATGATTCGTGCAATCCTGAAGAAGTTATGAGCTATTGAAGTTCAAAAAGCTCTTTTTTACCTGCTTTTTCATGACTCTGGATCTCGGAGGTGTTTCAATGGATCGGAACGGACAAGACATTTTCTGATAAGGCAAACCTTACTCTATAAAACCTATGAAGTCGCAACATCATACACTTCCACATTCAAGATTTATAAGAGTTTAACTCTCAACAGTCAAAAAACTTGCAAAAATGGCGTAAAGTTTTAGAACTCTGGTTTTCAACGACTATCTCTTAAATCGACCAGATTCCTTCACTAGCTGATAGAGCAACATTTACTCTTTAAAACCTATGAAGTCGCAACTGCTGACATCTTCAAACAACAGATTTATAACAGTGGAAATTTTGCATGATTTTTCACTATTTATTTATTCGAAATTCTGATTCTCGGCCGTTACTGCCTGGATCGATCTACTTTCTTCGCTGTACGTCATAACAAAATTTGCTTAATAAAATCCGTACAGTCCAACAAACTTCTACTTCCAAATACACCATTTACTAAACACGTCTATTTTAAATTTTTATAAATAAAATTTATAGATATTTTTAATATTCATCGTATCTGTGGCCCTAAAGAGGGCCGTTGGGTCGACGTTAGACCTAGAAAGATAGCTCCGTTCGTCCGTTCTATCCTCCCCCCGCACCTCCCCCCCCCCCCCCCCCTCCCCCCCGTCGACGTTTTTGGGAGGTGAGTGTCCGACACTACCACCTTCACTTTTGGCCGGCCAGTGGTAGCTGAAACCACCTTCACTTTTGGGGGACCCGGCTCCCCCTATCGCACCTCTGGTTGCACGTCCGCTGGTACGCCGAGCATGATGGCTGCTTTGGGGGTCGTTGAGACCGCGCCTGCACCCATCCAAGCCCGCCCTAATACGTCTGAACCCGTCCGAACCATAGGTGCAATAGTGTGAGAATTTTCTCACCCCCTCTTCACCCCTGAGCCGGGACCAAGGTGACCCCCTTCACCAAAAGCCGAGAAGAACATCAACAGTGAGGTAAGGTTAAGCAAAGGAGGTATTTGTACGTGAATTGTTTATGTATAGGAATGGAGGAGTCTGTTGAAAAAAGTGCTTGGTGACGGGTGTGAGTAGTGATTTTTGGACATTTTGGAGTTTTCAATATAAAAAAAATTCATAACTTTTGCAGATGAATATCTTTTACGGCGAGATGGTCACCCTTGGAACTGTATCGTCCTCCGCTTTCAGAGAGCATATAGCATATCTGAAATCCGTTCAAGAAAGTGCGGTGAAGGGTGTGCCTAGTGATTTTTAGGAATTTTCGAGTTTTTAACGTAAAAAAATCAAAAAATTTTGTAGATGAATATCTTGTACGCCGATATGGTCACCATTAAAACCATCTTGTCCTCCGCTTTCAGAAAATATATACTTTGCCTCGAGTCCATCAAAAAAGTGCCTGGGTGAAGTTTGTCCCAATGATTTCTAAAGATTTTCGAGTTTTTAACATAAAAAAATTCATAACTCTTGTAGATGAACATCTTGTACGTCGAGATGGTCACCATTGGAACCGTCCTCCACTTTCAGAAAATATATACCTTGCGTGAGATCCATTAGAAAAAATGCCGGGTGAAGGGTGGGTGAGACTTTTATAATGGGGGTGCTCAAGTAGACGTTTTTTTACAATGGTAAAAAAGCCTGTGCTTGAGCACTCCCATTACAAAAGTCTCACCCACCCTTCACCCGGCACTTTTTCTAACGGACCCTAGGCAAAGTATATATCTCCTGAAAGCGGGGGACGAGACGGTTCCAACGGTGACCGTCGCGGTGTACAAGGTGTCCATCTTCAGGAGTTACGGATTTTTTTATGTTAAAACTCGAAAATCTTCAGAAATCACCGGGACACCCTTCACCCAGGCACTTTTTTTAATGGACTCTAGACAACGTATACATTTTTTGAAAGCGGAGGACGAGACGGTTCCCATGGTGACCGTCGCGGCGTACAAGATGTTCATCTTCAAGAGTTACGGATTTTTCTATCCTAAAAACTCGTAAATATTCAGAAACCGCTACCCACACTCTTCACCAGGCACTTTTTTAACAGACTCCAGGCAAACTATAAATCCTCGCAAAGCGGAAGACAAGGTGGCTCAAAAACATTTCCCTTGCGGAGGTTGCTGTTCATCTACAGAA